CTCTTCTCGATTTCATTATGAAAACAAAATATGTGGATTCTAGCATTTAAATGGTTACTCAAAGACTGTTGGGAACAAATAGGGATAAAGGAACTGACAGTAAGAAAGTACTGACAAAATGTTTTTAAACACCATCACCTGAAACACCTTCAAAGCAGCACAATCTCATCAAACATTCAGAAAGATTATCTGACTTAATGAATGCTCAAAATGCAAGCTCAAATCTACCCTGTAAAGCAATCAAGTTTTTAGCAACTATTTTGACCTCAGTGACACAAACAATTAATTCTGCAAACCTAATATCAAAATAAAATTCTACATCTAATGCAGAATAATTTCCCAATGTAGTTAATCTAAAACAACATTTGAAATATGCTACCTCCATATATTATACATTCTACTATTTAATACTAATTTTAGAGGATTAGAAAAGAATGAAGGAGAGAGTAATTCATCAAGAGAAAGGTTTCTTTTAAACTAATTTTTCAGTGAATATAAAACAGCAGAGCACATTAACAAAGATGTGGCTACCATGAACATACATGTTATATTTCAAATTTAAAAATTTAAAGATATTCAGCTTTCAGAGACATTTCAATATTAATGAACTAATGATAGGAAAAAAACCCAAAAGTTATAGTTTACCAATCCCTTTTCACTCCAATTCATTTATTATTATTTGCTGCAGTATCCCACAACACCAACCCATCTCCTATATATATACCTGCCTTAAATAAAACTACCACCTCTATAAAACAACGAAAACCATAAAAATTAAGATAAATGCTGAGTTTTCAAAACACACCTTATTCTGCCAGTTCATGGAAATTTTTTTTTTGAATCACTCACTGCCTCCCAAATTGTATGTTTAAATAAAAGATCTTAGCCTACATAATTATAAGAAGTAATTTAATACGTGATGCAAGACTTTACATTTAAATAAAAACATGCAATGATAAATCTATAAAATTATTTCACTTCTTTAAGAATTTATTCATTTAAAAAAGTAGTAAAATATTATACTATTACTTTTGATATTTTCTATGTAGTCTTTAAAATACACTCACAGAAAGACAAAAAATAATCAATGACAGCAGGTATCTAGCTATATAAATATAGTTAAAATATAACCAAGTGAAGGGACATTTTACAAGGTTTTTGCATGGTACATGTCTTCCTGTAGGTACTTCCTAAGGTGTCTATGTAGGCACTTATCTTACCCATTGTGTTAAATCACTTTTTAAAGATACTTTATAAATATGCAATACATGACTAAAGTTTCTAAGTCATACAAGGCACATAACTTTTGTATTTATTCTTGTTTATAGTAGACACAAAAGAAATGTGTACAACAAAGTATATTTCAAACTCAAGTTATAAACACACCTTATAGGCTGAATCATAAAATGCCTCCAGAGCACTGTAAAGTATAGCCATGATTTTACTGTTTTCAGTTTATTTAAGATCTAATCAGAGCTATGAAGAAAAGGAAAGTCTTGGCATTTCTCCTCAGAACCTGTCATCTATTAGAACTCAAATTCGATGTTCATTTTCAATTATTATTTTCACTTGTCTTTATAAATGCACTCCACTGGATTCTTAAGCAAAATAGAATCTGACTATAAATGCTTACAACTCTTACTTAGGGGAATTAATGGGAATATTGTAGCACTCCATTGGTGTAATATTTCCTGTAAATACATTAAAGGAAGAAAGGACTATCCTAAAAACTCCATTAGTTAATCTGTAAAATAGACTAAATCTGAGAATTTGGTTGGCATTTAACTCTCATGACAATTAAAACATAATATTTCCAAACAAAATAAAAATTATCTTCCTAAATAATTAGTCCTTGAAAAACGACACAATTCTAAAATAATCCCTAACTATTCAAATTGCTAAGGGTACATTTAGCTTTTTTAAAAGATTATTTCTGGAAACAATGGTTAAAGGTTAAGACATTATCCAGTCCATCTAACTTTTTAAATGCCATTATTTAAAATGATTCTACCAGATTTTACTCTAGTGTAGTCATTTATTTCAACTGTTGAGACATATTTTTCTCATTACATATTACCTTAAAATGTGAATGATATATCACTTAATTTGAGTCATTTTTAGTGATAATTTTTTAAGAATTGAATTTCAATGAATTTTTTTGCATTTAGTCTGAATGCAATTCAGAGACGTAAAGAAATAACCTTTATTAAAAAAAAAAAAAACAAGTAGAATCTTTTCAAACAGGTAACCTCATTCTGGCCTAATATGTGTATGTTTTTAAGGCTTTCTGTGCTCTGTCACTGTCTTTGCAGACTTGAGTCATTGAGGAATGGATGTCTATTCTTCGATTGGAAAGAAAATTTCATTGTCAAACAAAATCAGAAAAAATGAATCTGTCTTATAAAAAGAATATTGGACTACTTAAAGTGTGCTTTTATTTTTCAGTTGTTTATTTTTCTAGAATTAGAGAGCACAGTTGCATTTTATGAGACACCAAGAAAACATAAGAGTGCTCTTTAATGTTATCGAAAGATGTATATTCAAAATATCCTGAAATGAATTTTGAAGAGCAACATAGATGATCATACTGCTTACATGTCTCACAATCTGTCCTCAGAATTCAACTAATTAATAGCTAATATTTGCAACGATCACGGGTGAGTATCTGTGTTGTGAAAAGTCCTTGTGGTCCTTTCTACCTCAGCTCAGACTTGGAAGAAATTCATTGTAAAGCAAGTATCACGTAATGTGGCCCTCTGGTGGAAAACCAAGTATCACGTTCTGCAGCACAACGTTAGACAGTAAACTAGAAAGCTGTAAAATATTTGTTAGAAACCTTCACAGAACCTTTCAAAAATCACCCTGTGAACTTAATTAATATCCTGACACCTGAAGGGCACTCTGGTACAGATATGACGTAACTAATATGAAAATAAATCTTATCTTTACTCATCCTTCCATCATGTGCCAAATAAAAATAAATTCTCGGCATCTTTTAGCTTAAAACAACATGCTCAATTTGCTATGAATACATTTCTGATAGTCAAGAAAACGCGTATTTGTTGTAAGGCAGCACTGAGGAAAACAAAACTTACCTGCTGCTGTTGCAGATGCAGCAGTTCTACTGTGCTTACTTCAGAGCTCGTGTCACCACTTGATCTTCCATCTCTGCTGCCAGCATCTAATTGGCTGCTTAGAGTGCTCATTCCATTTTGATTCATTGAACTGTTGCTTATTGTCTCTGTCGCAGATTCCTGCATCATGACTTAATACCTAAAAGTGATTAAGAAGTATCAATTAACACACGTTACACCTTCACACTTCCATTATCAAGATGTCCCTCTCTGCCAATTACAGAGACAGCATCTTTAGAAGGGGGAAGGAAAAAAAAAGCCTTGAATAGTCATTTACCAAGAAAAGCAATACAAATTCAGCTTTCATCCACATACTAATCACTGAAATTACGGTTTCTATAAGCAATTTTTGTGTGGTTACATATAACAGTCAAAGTAACATACCATGCATATAGCATGGTCAATAGCATTTATGAACGACCACATTTTAAAGTCTACCTATAAAACCATTTTAAATGAAGGCACAATTGCACACTCTGTTCTATGTTTCCTATTATCTACCTTTGACAACCATGGGTGACTATACAGCCTTATTTTAAATATTCACTATCTTGATTCTGTCAGAATTTTACAGCACATCTTATGCAAGACTGTTGTTTAATGATGCACAGCTAATCATACAAAATTAAAATTTTGTAAGGGTGTTACAAATCATATGGTATCAACCAATGATAAATAGTATAATGGGTTTTTTTGTGACTAAATAAAAATTTGCCTTGGAGGCATTTTAAGAAAAAGCTCCTGCTGCAAACACATCAGATATTGCCTATTTTTTTAATCAAACACCTCATATTCATTTATTTTTCTGACATTTAAAACATTTAATACTGTCCTTCCTGGGAAGTAATTAAGCTTATGCATGAGCAGCAATCAAACTGTTCACTTGAAGATGACTTAAAACTCAATTTTAACATAGGCAAATAAATGAAAGATATAAAATTAATTTTCCAGGCATGTATTAGATATGAAAGCTGGAAATAAAATCTATCAAGAATATCACTAATGATTGTGCTAAAAACAGCATAAATTATGCATATTACCTTCTCTACAGTAATAAATGTTTTATCATTTTCACTGCATAAATATACTGTACTTTCAGGATAGCAATGAGATGTCCTGCCAAGATCAGTGGAAATCCTTGCAGTAAATAAAGAACCAATGTGCTCTTACAAACCAGAATTTCACAGTACATCTTGAATGTGTGGCATAGAAAGATCAGTTTTGGCTCTCAAAGGCATCTGAATCCTATGTCATAGCCTGATAGATGCACTTCTCTGTTTCACTTCTACGGACAGAATTTCAGAAGCAACCTGGATGTGCTGTGACTTTAACAGGAGTGCTACTTAGGCAGTAGACTTAGCCTAAAGTAAAGAAGACATTAAACTTAATCTAATTATTTTCTATATGTTTTCATGCTCTTGTTCTTATTTCAAGACTTTTGTCCATTTAAAACTTTGAAATGTACATATTATAAAGCCTATGAAAGCTTAATATATTCTTCCTGTCATAGAAAAATCCATTTCCCTGGAAATCATATAAAAGGTGATCACACACACACAAGCAGTTACTCACAGAAACAGAAACAGAGACATATACCCAACAGATATTTTTGAATGCTAATATCAAAATTATTAAAATTAATAGTTATAACTTAATTGTTTTAATAGGTATTTTCATTATAGCCTAAATTATTAGATTATTCCCATAATTCTAAAAAGCCAATGAAAAAACATACTGATTTATGACAGGTCATCAGGAGCTGAATTAGGAAATCAAGTTAGTATAACAGAAACCACGTATACAACTTAAATCTGTTCTGATAAAAAAATGCAACAAAAAATGATAATAAAAGAAGTAATTGCTTGCAACTATATAAAACTAATTTTGAATGGAATGAGTTCACGAATAAATAGGTTTTGTTAAATATCTTATTGAACATTAACAAAGAAAAATCATATAAATGAAAACTGATACATGGTGATGGATTTTATAAGAAAAAAACAAAACTAATACTCTTTTCTAAGATTAGACAGCTAATAAGTATTCAAATTAGGCATAAATTTTACATGCACAATGTTTAAAATATTCAGAGAAAGGGTCTGATTGCTTTTACTAGTTGTGTGAAAATTATAATTTCGGTCCTCTCCAACTGTAGAAACAGATAGACGTAACTTCTTCATTTAAATTTTCCTCTGGACAATATACCTGGCATATATGTTTGTAAGTGTATGTTTTTATTTCATCACCCAAATTTATTTGAAATACTTATTTTCTCTGGGTAGAGTCTGCAACACAAAGCATAAAAATGAATAACTGTATTTTCAAGTGTAACAGACAGGTGCAGCATTTAACACTAACCTTTGTGATTTTATGTCAGGATCAATCGGATGAATTAAGTAATTCTGCATGTATTACTGTGTTATAATCAAGGTTATCAAATAATTAAGAATAATGAACAAGCAGAGAGTCATGTGTCTAAATCTTTATTACAATTATGAAGAAAGACCTATGTAACTTCCAATTCTTATTAACTAAAGGATTTTAATATCCCTTGTGGAATTTTTGACTTTATAAAGCCCTAGAGTATAAATTGTGATTTACATTTTAAGAACAGACATCTAAGAGTTAGTAAGATAATGCTTCAGAAAACTGTAACAGTGATAGACTTTTTGCTCTACAAAGTAGGACCATCTGACCCCAACATTAGTATGAAAAAAAGAAGGGCAATTGTGTAATTAAATGATTGTAATGTGCATTTTATCTGAAGAAGGAAGCTTGAAGTGTGTCCACTATAAAGGAGACATTTCTTCAAGGATAATGAAGATGATTTGTAGTATTTACTAAGTTTTTCCTACTAACGCCTGCATACTTATTTCCCACTAGAGGAAATATTTCTAGCACAATATGAGGTGTGTTTACTTTTATAAATATATTTTAAATAATTATAAATTCAGCATATTCTTTCAGAGCGGATGTGCTTGTGATCCAAACATACTGAACTAAATTATTCATTCTTCTCAATCCTACCACAAACATTTTACAAAAATCAGTGGAAATAAATTCCAGGTCATTAGAGGTGAAGGTGAGTTTAGTAGTCACTATTTTAATGTTTGTCTGAAGTAAAAGTTAAACTCTTAAGTTTTTCATCATACACAACTCTTTAACCACATCAGAAATTAACTCTTCAGCTCTTGCACTCAAATGATGCAGTTCTACTTTTCTCCCCTGAATTTTCGTTTCTTTCCTTTTTCTTCCTTCTTTTTTTTAAGCAAGTCACTATACAGATACTTATTCTCTACACCACTTCCCTTTTGAAACATTAAACTGACACTGGAACTGACTGCACAAGATTGCATTTTCTCTTCCTAAACAACTTGAATTGAAAGGTTACTTAGTGTAACAATATTTACTTGCAGAATTGTGTTGTTACCAAGGGTATAATGGATGGTGGCTATGCAGGTTTACGCAAGAATGAGTGAAGCATGAGGCATTAGCCATGTGTTTGACATGTTTCAAATTGCTATAATCCAGCATTAAACACACCCAGCAATTCATGCCATTTCTTGCAGCCATAATCTTGAATAAAGCGTGCACAACCACTTATTATATAAATTAGTATATGACTCCCTGTTATAGTCACAACAGTGCTTTTGTGTTTATTTTGCATCAAGATGTAGTCTTTTATTTGTACAAATAGCAGGATATAAAGACATAGCTCAATTAGACCTCCTTACTTTATGATAGGGTAGTACTGAATGCTAGTTTTATTTTTTCCTCTTAGAGTTATAGGTTCTATTGGTATAAAACTGTACCATGTGAGATAGTTATATGCCAGAGTGATAACAGAAACATGCATATATCCTATTCTGCATTCACTACAATGTTCCAAGGTTTGAAATTTGACCCGGGCAAGTATAGTTAATTGTGTTATCCCAACTACCACAAGGGACACTATTGGTCCTTGTTGCTTATTCAACTTCTTTTCTTTCTGGTCACCTCTCTTATCTTTTCTCTCTCTCCTTCTCTCATCATCCTCCCTTCCTCCTTCCCTCCCTCCCTCCCTTTCTCCCTCCCTCCCTCCATTCCTTCCTTTCTTCCTCTCTTCCTTCCTTCCTTCCTTCCTCCCTCCCTCCCTTCCTCCCTCCCTCCCTCTGTTCCTTCCTTTCTTCCTCCCTTCCTTCTTTCCTTCCTTTCACTCCTCAACGCCCATGTGCATATCCATGTTTGTGTGTATCTATCTATGGTAGATAGATTAGTTGGTCAGTCAATCCAACTATGCATGCCAAGGATGTTAAGAAAGAAAGAATAACATCTACTTCTCACTATACACTCCTATTTATATACACAAACACTCCACTTTAGACTTTTAGCACCTTAATTTTTGCTTGGCATCTTACCATTTAATCAAAACAAATGGAAAAAGCTACTGAGAATTTAAGAACAAATAATAGTATATATAAAAAGTTTCTGATGATTTCTAATTTTCTTAAAATTATTTACAGTGACATTAAGAGACAGTTTATGTCCAGTATCTGATTTATCCCAGGGAATTTATTTATCTAAATGTATATTGTAAATCCAAAGGATTTTGAATATGACATTTAAAGAAAAGTAACACATTAAAAAGTTATCATATAGCCTCAAATACACCTTATTTGATCATTTATAAATTCTCAATAATAAGCACTATTAAATACTTTTCTGCAGATTCACAAAAGAATGTGGGAGAAAACACACATATACAACAAGAAACACACACATTTACCTCAAAATGTCAGCTAAATTCTGACTAAAAACTTGACTGTGATGTAAAACTTATGAAAGAAACTAGCACTTAAATAATAACTTGTGTGCTCTAGTGGAATTAATTCATCATGGACACCATGCACAGTGCATTTGAAATCTAGCACTGCTTTGCTAAAAGTCTTTAATACCAAAATTGCCTAATAAATCAAAATGCCAAATATGAAAGACATACTTGAATGTGTAGGAACAAAAATTGAAAAGGCACAAGACTATTTTTAATTTTTGAGAAATGAAACAGGATGTCCTTTGAAACATGATTTGGAGAAAGGTGTCTGTTACAGCAAATAATAAGTTATTATAACAAGAGATATGATTTCAAGTAAATGAAAATTA